TTCACCGCATCAAAGGGACGATGGACGGGGCCATGTACCGTCAAAGCTTGGATGAGAACCTCCTTCCCTCAGCCAGGGCATTGAAAATGGGTTGTGGATTGGTATTCCAGCATGACAATGACCCAAAACACACGGCCAAGGCAACAAAGGAGTGGCTCAAGAAGAAGCACATTAAGGTCCTGGAGTGGCCTAGCCAGTCTCCAGACCTTAATCCCATAGAAAATCTGTGGAGGGAGCTGAAGGTTCGAGTTGCCAAACGTCAGGCTCGAACCTTAATGACTTGGAGAAGATCTGCAAAGAGGAGTGGGACAAAATCCCTCCTGAGATGTGTGCAAACCTGGTGGCCAACTACAAGACATGTCTGACCTCTGTGATTGCCAACAAGGGTTTTGCCACCAAGTACTAAGTCATGTTTTGCAGTGGGGTCAAATACTTATTTCCCTCATTAAAATGCAAATCAATTTATAACATTTTTGACATGTGTTTTTCTGGATTTTTTTGTTGTTATTCTGTCTCTCACTGTTCAAGTAAACCTACCATTAAAATTATAGACTGATCATGTCTTTGTCAGTGGGCAAACTTACAAAATCAGCAGGGGATCAAATACTTTTTTCCCTCACTGTATGGCCTTGTAGGCCTCCCTGCGCTTTGGAGACACTGAAAACCAGTTATAAGTCTCTCGTACCAAGTACTCCACACTACGGGGGATGGTGTCATTGGAAGCATGACTTACAGCAAGCTGCAGAGAGTGGCACACACAGCGCATAAGAACCAGATCTTTGAGGCCATACTCCTCCTTCAGCACTTTATGGACCCCATTGTTAATCCCCGTCATAACAGAGGCAATGCCATTCCATATCCCTAGGAGTTTCTTGTCTGAGAAAGCAGCTCTACATGCTTCTCCAATGTGATCACATGCCAGCATGGAAACAGTGTTCAGCGATAGCTGATGCCATGGTGGCCTCAGCCTTTTTTGCAGAGTAATTTTTAACCATAAATGGCAGCTTGTTTTGGCTGGAACTGTTATAAGGCTTTGCCTTTTGAGTATGTTTTTGAGTTTTGTTGGGATCTATTTTCTTATAACTAGATGTGATGCCTAGCTTAGAAAGAATACATTAATGATTAAACATAATAGGTTTGTGCTGTACTGATATAGATTGTTTAACATAACAAGCTGTGATTAATGTGAGGAACCGTTAGGGGGTAGGCTGAGATAAACTTGTGACTCACACACACACACTGCCTCTTTGTTAAACCGCTCAAGGACATGTGTACTGCAACAGAAACAACTAACACCTGGCAACAGTGATGCACCAAGGTGTGGGAACCAGCCTGAGCGCCAATGATAGGTTGGGTAAGTTTAAACCACACCCAGCCTCTACTCTGACAGGCCCAGCTTGGAGCAGGAACTATCTCTGTCAGAGTATTAAAGAAGAACCTTGGGTTGGACGGTGTGTTTCACAAAGAGTCCGGACAACTAAAAACTGGTAAGCAGACACATATTGTTATATAACTAAAGTTCTGCACATTGGCTTTATCCAAATTAATTTGTGAAACACCTGTTTGATGTAAGTTAACTAAATTATGAATTATTATACGAATTATTATGAGTAGATAAGCACCATATTGTGACATGCAAACCTGTGGTGAATGTGATGTTAAACCATGGTACCATAGAGTATTGTTCTACCGGCGAGGTCCGTAACTACGAGGGTACGGCTAGGTTCGGGGAAAATACTGAAATCTCTCGGCGAGGTCCGTAACTACGAGGGTACGGCTAGGTTCGAGGATATAGGGAATAATTGAATTAGTAATTGCTATCGGCGAGGTCCGTAACTACGAGGGTACGGCTAGGTTCGAAGAATTACACCGGCGAGGTCCGTAACTACGAGGGTACGGCTAGGTTTGGGAAATTTTAGATAAAATACTAGCGACCGGCGAGGTCCGTAACTACGAGGGTACGGCTAGGTTCGGCGGAGTATTTTGTAGGTAGGAGGAGGAATAGGAGGCAAGGTTGGAAGGAGTAATAGTAAATTGGGAATATAAAGGTAACATTTATGAATAACTAGTATGACTAAACTGAAACGTTTGAACTGATATAACTGAACTGTAACGTTTGATGTTTGACATAGCATAATACTGGTTTTAAATAATTATGTTGAAGCAATTTGGTTTTTACCAAAAAGTTATATTTTAGTTTCATCTGACCATATGACATTCTCCCAATCCTCTTCTGGATCATCCAAATGCACTCTAGCAAACTTCAGACGGGCCTGGACATGTACTGGCTTAAGCAGGGGGACACGTCTGGCACTGCAGGATTTGAGTCCCTGGCGGCGTAGTGTGTTACTGATGGTAGGCTTTGTTACTTTGGTCCCAGCTCTCTGCAGGTCATTCACTAGGTCCCCCCGTGTGGTTCTGGGATTTTTGCTCACCGTTCTTGTGATCATTTTGACCCCACGGGGTGAGATCTTGCGTGGAGCCCCAGATCGAGGGAGATTATCAGTGGTCTTGTATGTCTTCCATTTCCTAATAATTGCTCCAACAGTTGATTTCTTCAAACCAAGCTGCTTACCTATTGCAGATTCAGTCTTCCCAGCCTGGTGCAGGTCTACAATTTTGTTTCTGGTGTCCTTTGACAGCTCTTTGGTCTTGGCCATAGTGGAGTTTGGAGTGTGACTGTTTGAGGTTGTGGACAGGTGTCTTTTATACTGATAACAAGTTCAAACAGGTGCCATTAATACAGGTAACGAGTGGAGGACAGAGGAGCCTCTTAAAGAAGAAGTTACAGGTCTGTGAGAGCCAGAAATCTTGCTTGTTTGTAGGTGACCAAATACTTATTTTCCACCATAATTTGCAAATAAATTCATTAAAAATCCTACAATGTGATTTCTGGAGAAAAAAAATCTCAATTTGTCTGTCATAGTTGACGTGTACCTATGATGAAAATTACAGGCCTCTCTCATCTTTTTAAGTGGGAGAACTTGCACAATTGGTGGCTGACTAAATACTTTTTCTCCCCACTGTAGGTGTGTCCAAACTTTTGACTGATACTATATATATTTTTATACCCACAATTAAAAATACAAATAACTAAACGATCCTTGATATGACCATCTTAAAACAAATCCATATGTTAGCTTAGTAGAAACCCAGACCCGGGCCCCCAACTCCATCTGCTCTAAATGTCTATTAAACAGTAGTTAGGCTACTGACAGTGCATTCGGAAAGTATTCAGACCCCTTGACTTTTTCCACATTTTGTTACGTTACAGACTTATTCTAAAATGGATTAAATAAAAAAAAGTCCTCATCGATCTACACACAATACCCCATAATGACTTAGCAAAAACAGGTTTTTAGAAATGTTTGCGAACCCCCGTCCCCAAAAAACAGAAATACCTTATTTACATAAGTTTTCAGACCCTTTGCTATGAGACTCGAAATTGAGCTAAGGTGCATCCTGTTTCCATTGATCATCCTTGAGATGTTTCTACAACTTGCTTGGAGTCCACCTGTGGTAAATTCAATTGATTGGACATGATTTGGAAAGGCACACACCTGTCTATATAAGGTCCTACAGTTGACAGTGCATGTCAGAGCAAAAAGCAAGCCATGAGGTCGAAGGAATTGTACATAGAGCTCCGAGACAGGATTGTGTCGAGGCACAGATCTGGGGACGGGTACCAAAACAATTCTGCAGCATTGAACGTCCCCAAGAACACAGTGGCCTCCATTATTCTTAAATGGAAGAAGTTTGGAACTACCAAGACTCTTTCTAGAGCTGGCTGCCCGGACAAACTGAGCAATCGGCGGAGAAGGGCCTTTGTCAGGGAGGTGACCATGAAACTGATGGTCACTGTAACAGAGCTCTAGAGTTCCTCTGTGGAGATGGGAGAACTTTCCAGAAGGACAACCATCTCTGCAGCACTCCACCAATCAGGCCTTTATGGTAGAGTGGCCAGACGGAAGCCACTCCTCAGTAAAAGGCACATGACAGCCCGCTTGGAGTTTGCCAGAAGGCACCTAAAGACTCAGACCATGAGAAAGAAGATTCTCTGGTCTGATGAAACCAAGATTGAACTCTTTGGCCTGAATGCCAAGTGTCACATCTTGAGGAAACCTGGCACCATCCCTAAGGTGATGCACGGTGGTGGCAGCATCATGCAGTGGGGATGTTTTTCAGCGGCAGGGACTGGGAGACTAGTCAGGATCGAGGGAAAGATGAACGGAGTACAGAGATCCTTGATGCTCCAGAGCGCTCAGGACCTCTGACTGGGGCGAAGGTTCACCTTCCAACAGGACAACGACACTAAGCACACAACCAAGACAATGCAGGAGTGCCTTCGGGACAAGTCTCTGAATGCCCTTAAGTGGCCCAGCCAGAGCCCAGACTTGAACCCGATCGAACATCTCTGGAGAGACCTGAAAATAGCTGTGCAGCGACGCTCCCCATCCAACCTGACAGAGCTTGAGAGGATCTGCAGAGAAGAATGGGAGAAACTCCCCAAATACAGGTGTGGCAAGCTTGTAGCGTCATACCCAAGAAGACTCTAGGCTGTAATCGCTGACAAAGGTGCTTCAACAAAGTACTGAGTCAAGGGTCTGAATACTTAATACATTTGCAAAAATGTCTAAACACCTGTTTTTGCTTTGTCATCATTGGGTATTGTGTGTAGGTTGATGAGAGAAAAAAACGATTTAATCAATTTTAGAATAAGGCTGTAACGTAACAACATGTGGAAAAAGTCAAGGGGTCTGAATACTTTTCGAATGCACTGTATGTGCCTCCTCCTGTGTTCATATAATTGTCTTATTGAATAGCCTCATAGACAGTATGGGTATGCATTACTGTGTGGATAAATGATGCCTTCTCCACTGCAGTTCAGGTGAGATGGATATGTGCTCTCTGAAGGTGTTGGAGCTGGAGGGCAGTCCCAGCCGCATGCTGCTCAGGCTCATGGGTGCACCCTGGGCCATCTGGTAGACTTCCTACAAACCATGGGACAGACAGAGGCCCTACAGTGTGTCAAAACATCAGGTATACCTCCGGAGCATCTTTAGAATTGTTCTCTGGCTATAATCTGGTTATTACCTGCAGGGAAGACTCAAGATTATAAATGGTTTTGGTGACAGGTTAATCTCGACTCCTGATTTTGGTCACTGTATGTTTATGCTGTCTTGTACCTCGTAGACAGAATTTTTATTGTATATTACGTCTGCCTGTGAATTCTTTCATTTCCATCAGTTTTCATTTTAAAAAGGCAAACATTTTCCACACTTTGTTAGGTCCTCCTTTCTGTGAAAGACAGAGAAAAAAGGGGTAAGTTTGTCTGTAATGTTTTGCATGGAGGGTTGGGGTCCCACTCGTTGGAGGGCAGGCTGAAGGTGGTTATCCAGCCACAGGGCCAGGGGCTGCACGTGGGGGACTCTCTCCAATTGGAGTGTGGGGCAGTGGGGAGGCCTATTCCCCGCTACCAGTGGCACTCTTCCCTTTCCTCCAACGGGAGACTCACGGTAAGGAGGACAAAGAGGAGGATGCTAACATCGTTAAACTCTTATGTAGAACATTACTCTTTTATACTGTTACACTGTTAAACATGTACAGTATCTGTTATAGCTACAGCAGCTATACTGTTATAGAATACAAATTGAATGAAAATAGTTACCGTTGGAAATGTTTTCAAATAGCTTACGATGGTGGTTGTTTGTTGATTCAAACAGATTCCTTATCTGATGCTGGAACATCAGGGAAAGTATTGCTGTGAGATTTGCATTAACAACGAGAGGACGTGGACGAATGAAGTAGAAGTTCTAGTGGGTATGTCACTGTCCTTTCTTGTACAGTACTATAATGATGATATTGATCCTAGCCCAAACATATGCTCGGTTTATCAGTATACAATATGAGCAAAAACGTTGTATTTGGTGACAGTTCTTGATGATTACTTGCTCTTGTTCTTGACTGAAAGGACCGATGATATCTGTCCAGTTTTCAAGGACAGTGGAGTGTTCTGAAGGTATAGCTGAAGTGTCTGCTTCTCTTAGTTTGGGCATCTGGGACAAACAGTATTTTCATGAATGGAACAGGTCCATGTTGCAAACAATGGGGTGGAAAAATAAATCTGTTTTTACAGGGAATAGATTTCAGAGAATGAGGGATTGGTTCCAGGTGTTAAATGCATTTTATTCATCCTTTGGATTATTGCCCTTTCATTTTATTCATTATATTTTCGAGAGCACATGTTCTGCTCAGGTAATCCCAATCATAAATTATCAGCATTATCATCATATTGCAGGCCCGCAACAGGTTACCCTCATTGACTCTTGTTTTAATCCACGTCCTCGCTCAATGCATAGGCCCAATGGTACAGTTCTAGACAATCTTGTATCTATACCAATTCAAGCTAGCCCTATGGTATTTTCAAATAAGGGGTTACCAACTGAGCATAGTATGCTTGTATTAGAGACTCTGTCTGATCTGAAATCCCGCAGCTGCGGTATTGGACTGATTCATGTGAATGCCAGAAGTTTATCCTCGAAAATAGATTTTATTATAACTCTGGCCTCTCAAACCAACATTCTGGTAATATCTCAAACTTGCCTAAATAAGACTGTGCTGGATAATGATGTGTCTCTGGCTGGTTATAATGTTTTTAGATCTGACAGAGTTGGCAGAGGTGGAGGTGTCGCCATATTTACAAAGGACAACATAAATGGTTCTGTATCTCTCACTACCTCTGTCCCTAAGCAATTTTGAGTGATCTTAATCTGGATTGGTTGATGCCATCTTCTGATAGGCTGAAAGATGTCTGCATTGAGCTAAATCTAACTCATAACTGAACCAACCCGCCCCAACTGTAAACACCCTGAAAAATCTACTATTTTAGATATTATTTTGACAAGCATAAGTATACAGCCATTGGAATTTTTGCTAATGAGTTCAGTGACCACTGTCCCGTTGCCTGCATAAGAGATGCAAAGCTACTTAAATCATGCCCTTGCATTATTACAAAGAGAAATTACAGGAATTTCAATGAGCAACAATTCTTGTCTGATCTGGGATTGTGTGAATGGGGGGTTGTGTCAGATATCTCTGACTCGGATCAGGCCCTAAATTGTTTTACTGTAAGTCTATTGCAGATAAGCATGCTCCATTCAAGAAACTAAGGGTAAGGGATAGAGCTAATCCCTGGTTCAAGAATGAACTATCAGAGAAACATCAGGAGATACATTTAGCTCGGGCTAAGGCTAGACTGACTGATTCTACGTCTGACTGGCAGTCCTTCAGATGCTTGAGAAATAGATGTATATCCCTGGTTAGAAAAGAAAAATCGACTTCTTCAACTGTGTATCTGTGAATGATGGGAATCCAGCTGCTATCTGGAAGGTAGTCAAATCTCTGAAATTGTCACGCCCTGGCTTTGAGAGGCCGGTTGTCTTTAGTTGGTTTGGTCAGGGCGTGAGTTTCTATGTGTATATCTATGTTTAGATCTATGTTTATATTTCTATGTTTGGCCGGGTGTGATTCCCAATCAGAGGCAGCTGTCGCTTGTTGTCTCTGATTGGGGATCATACTTAGGTAGCCTGGTTGCCTACCTTAGTGTGGGATCTTGTTTGTTGTTTGTTATTTTGTCAAGTGTTTATTCGTATTAATAAACATGTACGCATACCACGCTGCACCTTGGTCTGACCAGTCTCTCAACGATCGTGACAGAAGATCCCACCCTAAGGTAGCCTGGTTGCCTACCTTAGTGTGGGATCTTATTTGTGTTTCTGTTTGGCTAGTTTCGTTATAGCCCATAGAACTTCACGGTTCGTTGTTTGTTATTTTTTCAAGTGTTTATTCGTATTAATAAACATGTACGCATATACCATGCTGCACCTTGGTCTGACCCGTCTCTCAACGATCGTGACAGAAGATCCCACCACCAATGAACCAAGCAGCGTGCCCAGGAGGAGCAGAGATCATGGACTTGGAGGGAGATAAGAGAGGATCTGGCCAAGCATATGGAGGCCCTGAAAGGGATGAGGGTGGAGAAGGAGAGTGTAGCCAATAAAGGACCCTGGGCGAAGGAGGAAGGCCAGGTAGGAGAGAAACGGCGACTTAAAAGGACGCGGTCACGAAGAAAGCCTGAGAAGCAGCCCCAATAGTTTTTTTGGGGGGGGGCACACAGGGTGGTTGGCGGAGCCAGGGTTCAGAGCAGAGCCAACTCCCCGTATTCGCGCTAAGAAGTGTGTGACCGTGCAGGCTCCGTGTTGTGCGGAGATACGCACTGTGTCACCAGTGCGCCTGCACAGTCCAGTGCGTCCTGTGCTAACGCCACGTACAGTGGGGAGAACAAGTATTTGATACACTGCCGATTTTGCAGGTTTTCCTACTTACAAAGCATGTAGAGGTCTGTAATTTTTATCATAGGTACACTTCAACCGTGAGAGACGGAATCTAAAACAAAAATCCAGAAAATCACATTGTATGATTTTTAAGTAATTAATTTGCATTTTATTGCATGACATAAGTATTTGATCACCTACCAACCAGTAAGAATTCCATCTCTCACAGACCTGTTAGTTTTTCTTTAAGAAGCCCTCCTGTTCTCCACTCATTACCTGTATTAACTGCACCTGTTTGAACTCATTACCTGTATAAAACACACCTGTCCACACACTCAATCAAACAGACTCCAACCTCTCCACAATGGCCAAGACCAGAGAGCTGTGTAAGGACATCAGGGATAAAAGTGTAGACCTGCACAAGACTGGGATGGGCTACAGGACAATAGGCAAGCAGCTTGGTGAGAAGGCAACAACTGTTGGCGCAATTATTAGAAAATGGAAGAAGTTCAAGATGACGGTCAATCACCCTCGGTCTGGGGCTCCATGCAAGATCTCACCTTGTGGGGCATCAATGATCATGAGGAAGGTGAGGGATCAGCCCAGAACTACACGGCAGGACCTGGTCAATGACCTGAAGAGAGCTGGGACCACAGTCTCAAAGAAAACCATTAGTAACACATTACGCCGTCATGGATTAAAATCCTGCAGCGCACACAAGGTCCCCCTGCTCAAGCCAGCGCATGTCCAGGCCCGTCTGAAGTTTGCCAATGACCATCTGGATGATCCAGAGGAGGAATGGGAGAAGGTCATGTGGTCTGATGAGACAAAAATAAAGCTTTTTGGTCTAAACTCCACTCGCCGTGTTTGGAGGAAGAAGAAGGATGAGTACAACCCCAAGAACACCATCCCAACCGTGAAGCATGGAGGTGGAAACATCATTCTTTGGGGATGCTTTTCTGCAAAGGGGACAGGACGACTGCACCGTATTGAGGGGAGGATGGATTACATTTACATTTAAGTCATTTAGCAGACGCTCTTATCCAGAGCGACTTACAAATTGGTGCATTCACCCTATAGCCAGTGGGTTAACCACTTTACAACAATGTTTTGTTTTTTTTTTTTTTTTTGGGGGGGGGGGGGGGGGGGGGGGGCTAGAAGGATTACTTCATCCTATCCCAGGTATTCCTTAAAGAGGTGGGGTTTCAAATGTCTCCGGAAGGTGGTGAGTGACTCCGCTGTCCTGGCGTCGTGAGGGAGCTTGTTCCACCATTGGGGTGCCAGAGAAGCGAACAGTTTTGACTGGGCTGAGCGGGAACTATGCTTCCGCAGAGGTAGGGGAGCCAGCAGGCCAGAGGTGGATGAACGCAATGCCCTCGTTTGGGTGTAGGGACTGATCAGAGCCTGAAGGTACGGAGGTGCCGTTCCCCTCACTGCTCCATAGGCAAGCACCATGGTCTTGTAACGGATGCGAGCTTAAACTGGAAGCCAGTGGAGTGTGCGGAGGAGGGGGGTGACGTGAGAGAACTTGGGAAGGTTGAACACCAGACGGGCTGCGGCATTCTGGATGAGTTGTAGGGGTTTAATGGCACAGGCAGGGAGCCCAGCCAACAGCGAGTTGCAGTAATCCAGACGGGAGATGACAAGTGCCTGGATTAGGACCTGTGCCGCTTCCTGTGTAAGGCAGGGTCGTACTCTCCGAATGTTGTAGAGCATGAACCTGCAGGATCGGGTCACCGCCTTGATGTTAGCGGAGAACGACAGGGTGTTGTCCAGGGTCACGCCAAGGCTCTTCGCACTCTGGGAGGAGGACACAACGGAGTTGTCAACCGTGATGGCGAGATCATGGAACGGGCAGTCCTTCCCCGGGAGGAAGAGCAGCCCCGTCTTGCCAGGGTTCAGCTTGAGGTGGTGATCCGTCATCCATACTGATATGTCGGCCAGACATGCAGAGATGCGATTCGCCACCTGGTTATCAGAAGGGGGAAAGGAGAAGATTAGTTGTGTATCGTCAGCGTAGCAATGATAGGAGAGGCCATGTGAGGATATGACAGAGCCAAGTGACTTGGTGTATAGGGAGAAAAGGAGAGGGCCTAGAACTGAGCCCTGGGGGACACCAGTGGTGAGAGCACGTGGTGCGGAGACAGCTTCTCGCCACGCCACTTGGTAGGAGCGACCGGTCAGGTAGGACGCAATCCAGGAGTGAGCCGCGCCGGAGATGCCCAGCTCGGAGAGGGTGGAGAGGAGGATCTGATGGTTCACTGTATCAAAGGCAGCAGACAGGTCTAGAAGGACAAGAGCAGAGGAGAGAGAGTTAGCTTTAGCAGTGCGGAGAGCCTCCGTGACACAGAGAAGAGCAGTCTCAGTTGAATGACCAGTCCTGAAACCTGACTGGTTTGGATCAAGAAGGTCATTCTGAGAGAGATAGCAAGAGAGTTGGCTAAAGACGGCACGCTCAATAGTTTTGGAAAGAAAAGAAAGAAGGGATACTGGTCTGTAGTTGTTGACATCAGTGGGATCGAGTGTTGGTTTTTTGAGAAGGGGTGCAACTCTCGCTCTCTTGAAGACGGAAGGGACATGGCCAGCGGTCAAGGATGAGTTGATCAGCGAGGTGAGGTAGGGGAGAAGGTCACCGGAGATGGTCTGGAGAAGAGAGGAGGGGATGGGGTCAAGCGGGCAGGTTGTTGGGCGGCCTGCAGTCACTAGTCGCAAGATTTTATCTGGAGAGAGAGGGGAGAAAGAAGTCAAAGCATAGGGTAGGGCAGTGTGAGCAGGACCAGCAGTGTCATGGATGGGGCCATGTATCGCGAGATCTTGGCCAACAACCTCCTTCCCTCAGTAAGAGCATTTAAGATGGGTCGTGGCTGGGTCTTCCAGCATGACAACGACCCGAAACACACAGCCAGGGCAACTAAGGAGTGGCTCCGTAAGAAGCATCTCAAGGTCCTGGAGTGGCCTAGCCAGTCTCCAGACCTGAACCCAATAGAAAATCTTTGGAGGGAGCTGGAAGTCTGTATTGCCCAGCGACAGCCCCGAAACCTGAAGGATCTGGAGAAGGTCTGTATGGAGGAGTGGGCCAAAATCCCTGCTGCAGTGTGTGCAAACCTGGTCAAGACCTACAGGAAACGTATGATCTCTGTAATTGCAAACAAAGGTTTCTGTACCAAATATTAAGTTCTGCTTTTACTGATGTATCCAATACTTATGTCATGCAATAAAATGCAAATTAATTACTTAAAAATCATACAATGTGATTTTCTGGATTTTTGTTTTAGATTCCGTCTCTCACAGTTGACGTGTACCTATGATACAAATTACAGACCTCTACATGCTTTGTAAGTAGGAAAACCTGCAAAATTGGCAGTGTATCAAATACTTGTTCTCCCCACTGTACGTACCGTGCGGAAGTCGGCATCCAGCCAGGACGGGTTGTGCCAGCTCTACGCTCCAGACCTCCAGTGCGCCTCCACAGCCTGGTACGGCCTGTGCCAGCTCCCAACACCAAACCAGTGGTGCGTGTCGCCAGCCCGGTACGCCCCATACCTGCTCCCCGCACCAAACCAGTGGTGCGCGTATCCAGTCCAGTACGGCCCGTACCTGCTCTCCGCACCAAACCAGTGGTGCGTGTCGCCAGCCCGGTACGCCCCGTACCTGCTCCCCGCCCCAAACCAGTGGTGCGTGTATCCAGTCCAGTACGGCCCGTGCCTGCTCCTCGCACCAAACCAGTGGTGCGTGTCTCCAGTCCGGCACGACCTGTGCCTGCTACCCGCACCAAACCAGTGGTGCGCATATCCAGTCCGGTACGGCCCGTACCTGCTCCCAACACCAAACCAGTGGTGCATGTTGCCAGCCCGGTACGCCCCATACCTTCTCCCCGCACCAAACCAGTGGTGTGTGTATCCAGTCCGGCACGACCCGTTCCTGCTCCCCGCACCAAACCAGCGGTGCGTGTCACCAGTCTGGCACGACCCGTCCCTGCTCCTCACACCAGACCAGTGGTGCGTGTTCCCAGAGTAGTCCGCTCCACCGGTGCCTAGTTCAGCTCCGGTCAGCGGCTCCATTCCAGTGCCAGATTAATCCACTCTACCGGTGCCTAGTCCAGCCCCGGTCAGCTGCTCCAGTCCAGTGACAGAGCAGGAGCTCCACCGGTGCCCAGTCCAGCTCCAGTCAGCGGTTCCACTCCGGAGCCAGGGCAGTCCGCTCCACAGGGGTCCAGTTCAGCTCCGGTCAGCGGCTCCACTCCAGACCCAGACGTCAGCACCTCTGCAGGGTCGGGGCCTCCCACACCAGGGTCCAGACAGGGCTTGGTGCATCGCGGGAGGATTGCCGATCCAGGCCCAGACGTCAGCCCCTCTCCAGGTTCGGGGCCTCCCACACCAGGGTCCAGACAGGGCTTGGTGCATCGTGGGAGGAAGGAGAGGGGAAGCATCGCGCCGAGGTCCAGACCAGACCAGGGGTGCAACGGGGAGGCAGAGAGGGAGAGGTCGTCACGCCCGGAGCCGGAGCCGCCTCCGAAGCTGAATGCCTATCCGGACCCTCCCCTTATGAGTTAGGTTGGTGCGGCCGGAGTACGCACCTTTGGGGGGGAGGGTACTGTCACGCCCTGGCCTTGAGAGGCCGGTTGTCTTTAGTTGGTTTGGTCAGGGCGTGAGTTTCTATGTGTATATCTATGTTTAGATCTAGGTTTATATTTCTATGTTTGGCCCGGTGTGATTCCCAATAAGAGGCAGCTGTCGCTCGTTGTCTCTGATTGGGGATCATACTTAGGTAGCCTGGTTGCCTACCTTAGTGTGGGATCTTGTTTGAGTTTCTGTTTGGCTAGTTTCATTACAGCCCATAGAACTTCACGGTTCGTTGTTTGTTATTTTGTCAAGTGTTTATTCGTATTAATAAACATGTACGCATACCACGCTGCACATTGGTCTGACCCGTCTCTCAACGATCGTGACAGAAATAAACCTCCATCCCCTCATTTCCCCAGCAGGGTATGACCGCTTCTGTTCCCAGAACAGATAAGATGGACATTTTTGGTGCTTATAACCACTTTGCCTCAGCGGGCCACCTATTTGTTAAAATACACTACATCACCAAAAGTATGTGGACACCCCTTCAAATTAGTGGATTTGGCTATTTCAGCCACACCCGTTGCTGACAGTGTATAAAATCTCCATAGACAAACAATGGCAGTAGAACGGCCTTACTGAAGAGCTCAGTGACTTTCAATGTGGCACCGTCATAGGATGCCACCTTTCCAACAAGTCAGTTCGTCAAATTTCTGCCCTGCTAGAGCTGCCCTATTCAACTGTAAGCGCTGGTATTGTTAAGTGGAAACGTCTAGGAGCAACAATGGCTCAGCCGCGAAGTGGTAGGCCACACAAGCTCACAGAACGGGACCGCCGAGTGTTGAAGCGAGTAGCACGTAAAAATTGTTTGTCCTTGGTTGCAAGACTCACTATCGAGTTCCAAACTGCCTCTGGAAGCAACGTCAGCACAATAACTGTTCGTAGGGAGCTTCAAGAAATGGGTTTCCATGGCCAAGCAGCCGAACACAAGCCTAAGATCACCATGCGCAATGCCAAGCGTCGGTTGGAATGGTGTGAAGTTTGCCGCCATTGGACTCTGGAGCAGTGGAAAAGCGTTCTCTGGAGTGATGAATCACGCTTCACCATCTGGCAGTCCGACGGACGAATCTGGGTTTGGCAGATGCCAGGAGAACTCTACCTGCCCGAATGCATAGTACCAACTGTAAAGTTTGGTGGTCTGGGGCTGTTTTTCATGGTTCGGGCTAGGCGCCTTAGATCCAGTGAAGGGGAATCTTAACGCTACAGCATGCAATGACATTCTAGACGATTCTGTGTTTCCAACTTTGTGGCAACAGTTTGGGGAAGTCCCTTTCCTGTTTCAGCATGACAATGCACTGTGCACAAAGCGAGGTCCATAGAGAAATGGTTTGTCGAGATCGGTGTGGAAGAACTTGACTGGCCTGCACAGAGCCCTGACCTCAACCCCATCGAACGCCCAACATCAGTGCCTGACCTCACTACTGCTCTTGTGGCTGAATGGAAGCAAGTCCCTGCAGCAATGTTCCAACATCTAGTGGAAAGGCTTCCCAGAAGAGTGGAGGCTGTTATAGCAGCAAAGGGGGCACCAACTCCATATAAATGCCCATGATTTTGGAATGAGATGTTCGACGAGCAGGTGTCCACATACTTTCGTTCTTAATGATCACTTACAAATGGCTAACATTAGGCATGTTGATCTTTTGGCCTCTGACTTACCTCCACCTAATTAGTGAAAAATAGTACTTGAATTCAGTTGAAATGCAAGCACAGGAAATCAAAATTCCAGTAATCGTTCTGAAAATGTTTCCCCACAGATTATGTTTTTGCCTTTAAAGCAAGGAAAGTGACACTTTGACACGCATTGAAATAATATTTGAGCTGATCTATCATTGTTCCTAGTTTTTATAAATGTTTTTGCACAGTACATAGAGAATGTGTATCAATACAACATGTGCAATGTCTGTGTTATATAATGAAAGTCTTGGGATTGTAGGTACCAGTGAACTCATCCTAAACAGCACTCAAGAACCTCCTTTTGGTAAGCAGAACAAAATGTAAATGTTCTCTTCATGTTGGTCAATGTTTCATTATTCCACAATTGATTTAAACTCATAGTCATTGGTGATATTTGTCTCCCATCACAGCGACAGATATAATGGCCCTGCTGATCGGGAACCTCTCATACCAGAACCACCCCCAGCTCAAGGCGCCCATGGTGGATGTGTATGACCTCACCAACCTCCTGCGCCAGCAGTGTATGAAAGAAGACCTAGAAGAATTTGATCCGTTCTTGTCAAGTTTCAGTCAAATCTTAGTTTGTTTGAGCTGGTTTTTCTAAACAAAATCAAATCATGGCATTTTTGGTTACATACGTTTGAGAAGTCACATTTTTGTCTTATTTCATTCACTTCTCTATTCACTGTCTCATTTACCCCTGTTCAATTCATTCCCATGACCTTCTCCTAGGTTTGCTGTACTATGCTGGTCATGTTTATGAGAATTACGGCAACAGCTTCATGGTACCTGTGGATGCTTCAAACCCGTAACGCTCAGCCAACTGCCTGTGTGTGCAGAGCATCCTCAAACTGATGCAGGAGAAGGAGACGGGCCTCAATGTGTTCCTGCTGGATATGTGTAGGAAGAGGTGGGTAAAGACTAGGATACTACCCACTGGGCAAAAACTGGTTGACTCAACATTGTTTCCACATCATTTCAACAAATAAATGAAATGTGATTACACTGAATCAAGGTGGAAAACTGATTGGATTTGCAAAAAGTCATTAACGTAAGGGAATGTCGTTTTTAATTCATCAACATTTTCGTCTAAATCCAATAACATGGGGACCAAATGTAAATCAAAACTAGACAAAGTTATGTTTCAACCAAATGTAAATCCAAGTTGAACTGATGTCTGTGCCCAGTGGGTATGCTAACCATGATACTTATGCTATGTTCACTATTATTCAGTGTCCCCTCCCTGTTGGTAGCATGGGATATAAAGCCCTTCACCATATTGTTTGTTGTAATATTGTGACTATTTAATTTTTATTTTTAGAAATATTAACGATGAAACCACCCCAAACATACTGTACTATTGAGGGTCACCGCTAACATTGTTTTTGGATATTCAATGTAAGTAATCTGATGATTACTCAAAAATATATCTAAACTTCTATTTGTAGCATGTTACTTTGTATGAACAGATGAAATGATATATTTCCCAATGCTGTTCCATTCTTCTCTTGTGCAGCTGCCAAGATGCAGACGCTTTTGAGCTGAGCTCTAGTGGATTCACCAATAGTCTTCATCAAGTTTCTGAAGCAACGTCTTCTGGAGGATGAGAAGATCACTGTGTTGCTGGACAAAGTGGCTGAGGGTACAGAGTAATGGACCAATTATGTGTTGGTAAAATAATAATAATTTTGTAAATGTCACCTATTTGTGGTCATGGAGTATGCAAGTCAATTAATAATAAAGTATACAGAATTGCTCTAATGCAGTACCATGCAAAGTAAGTAACAGCAGTACAACAAAAAATATATATTCTGTGTTTGTTTTATCCAGACATGGGCCAGTTCAACGCCACTAACGGGAAGCAGGCTCTGGAGATCCGCAGCAGCCTATCAGAGAGGAGGGATCTGACGGACCCTATTCTGCCTGGCGACAGCTCTGACATGGCCCTGGCTCACAACGTCAGTGGGCCAAGGCTCACGGTAAGGACACACCTCAAACACAATCAAAGAATGAACGTAATTACAGTACGTTTCGATTTGAGTTGTTTAGCTGACGTTATCAATATACTTATTGTGGATGTAACGTTGTGTTTTTAGTCTAGAACTGCCTGAGAGTATATATCTGGACTTTGAGTGTGGGGCTCAGACCAAGCTGGGTTTGCTGCAGATTTCTCTGACGTGCTGGTCATCTACACCCACATTGTGAAGAAACCAGAGGACATGTCCTTCTGCCAGGCCCACATCATCAACTTCTCCCTGGTGAGTTGCTACAGTCTTTCACCCAGTTCTAAAATTATGCAAACTTGTTCCTTTCCCAGGCTCCTGTCACCAATTCTCACAGTTTCTTTCCTATCCACTACCCCTTCAAGTGTTCATAGATCTGAAAAGGTGTAACTAATCCAATAGCCTAATCCATTAAAGCTTTTCAGATCCGTGAACACCAAAGGGATAGGAGGATAGGGAAGGGAATTTAAACTCAATATGCCACTGATGCCATGATGTTTTTTCCTAGCTCTGTTCAATACAAATGAGAGCATTTTCCTTTCTTGGGGTTTACTGAAACAACATTAGGAGAATAGATGGCATTGTGCAGACTGCAAAGTCTTTCTTTTTGCTGGAGATATGTTTTGATGTCCAGCACCTGGCTCAAAACTATGCATATGCATATACAGTGCCTTCAGAAAGTATTAATAACCCTTGACTTATTTCACATTTTGTTGTGTTACAGCCTGAATTTAAAATGGATTCAATAGATTTTATTTCCTAACCCATCTACACACAATACCCCATAATGACAAAGTGAAAACATGTTTTTAGAAATGTTTGCACATTTATTGAAAATGAAATAACAAAATATCTAATTTACATACACCACCAGTCAAAAGTTTGGACACACCTACTCATTCAAGGGTTTTTCTTAATTTTTCACATTGTAGAAGAATAGTGAAGACATCAAAACTATGAAATTACACATATAGAATCATGTAGTAACCAAAAAAGTGTTAAACAAAACGAAATATATTCTTCAAATAGCCATCCTTTGCCTTAATGACAGCTTTGCACAGTCTTGGCATTTTCTCAACCAGCTTCATGAGGTAGTCACCTGGAATGCATTTCAATTAACAGGTGTGCCTTAAAAGTTAATTTGTGGAATGTCTTTACTTCTCAGTGTGGTTTAGCTAATCAGTGGTGTTGTGACAAGGTGGTGGGGGGGGGGGGGGGGGGTATACAGACGATAGCCCTATTTGGTAAAAGACCAAGTCCATATTATGTCAAGAACAGCTCAAATAAGAGAAAGGACAGTCCATCATTACTTTAAGACATGAAGGTCAGTCAATACGAAACATTTAAAGAACTTTGAATGTTTCTTCAAGTGCAGTCGCAAAAACCATAAAGAGCTGTGATGAAACTGCCGCTCATGAGGAAACACAAGCAATGGACATTAGACCGGTGGAAATGTGTCCTTTGGTCTCGAGTTCAAATTTGAGATTTTTGGTTCCAACCACCATGTCTTTGTCAGACGCGGTGTGGGTGAATGGATGATCTCCGCATGTGTAGTTCCCACCGTAAAGCATGGAGGAGGAGGTGTTATGGTGTGGGGGTGCTTTGCTGGTGACACTGTCTGTGATTTATTTAGAATTCAAGGCACACTTAACCAGCATGGCTACCACAGCATTCTGCAGCGATACTCCATCCCATCTGGTTTGGGCTTAGTGGGACTATCATTTGTTTTTCAACAGGACAATGACCCAACACACCTCCAGGCTGTGTAAGGGCTATTTTACCAAGAAGGAGAGTGATGGAGTGCTGCATCAGATGAACTGGCCTCCACAATCCCCCGACCTCAACCCAATTGAGATGGTTTGGGATGAGTCGGACCGCAGAATGAAGGAAAAACAGCCAACAAGTGCTCAGCATATGTGGGAACTCCTTCAAGACTGTTGGAAAAGCATTCCAGATGAAGCTGGTTGAGAGAATGCCAAGAGTGTGCAAAGCTGTCATCAAGGCAAAGGGTGGCTAATTGAAGAATCTCAAATATAAAATATATTTTGATTTGTTTAACACTTATTTGGTTACTACATGATTCCATATGTGTTATTTCATAGTTTTGATGTCTTCACTATTATTCTACAATGTAGAAAATAATAAAAATAAAGAAAAACGCTTGAATGAGTAGGTGTTCTAAAACTTTTGACTGGTACTGTATTTGTTGACCCCAAAAATATGAACAGGGAGACACCAGAGGAGATTGGTATCTACCTGCTCTCCAGCAGTCTGCCCCAGCACTGCCTCTACACAGGCCTCAACTCTCTACAGAAGCTCAGGGTAAGGGTACAAAAAAGAATCACCACTTTCTAGATTCTCACATTACTACTACTTTATTATACTGTCCTGGCCCCTTTTGTTTGATCTCTTGAATAAAGTTTTTTAAAACTACCTTCCTGTTTCTATGTGTGCCCTGTGTCCCCTCTGTAGGAGCAGCTGGTGTCATCTTAGGGCAGTGCTCACCTTGGACAAGAGAGTTTTGATCTCCATTGTAACTATAGTATAAATATAAAAGGTCAATAAAATATGATTCTACTCCTTGTCTTCTTCTCTGTAGGATCAGCTGTGGTTCACAGCGTGTCTACAGGGCTCTTTCAAGGCTGTGCATGAGCTGGTGGACTGGACCACGGACGTCAACATCGGCAAGCCCCTGATCGCCAAAGTAGACCTCCATGAGGAGGAACAGCTGTCTGCAGACCTGCCCCTCTTATTTACAATGATGGCCTACACCGGCCAAACCCGGACGACGCTGGGCCAATTGTGCGCTGCCCTATGGGACTCCCAATCACGTCCGGTTGTGATACAGCCTGGAATCAAACCAGGGGGTCTGTAGTGACGCCTCAAGCACTGAGATGCAGTGCCTTAGACCACTGCGCCACTCGTACTGTTTAGTACTGTTACATATGCCTTGAAAAGGTTTTGTTTTTTGCAATTATCTTTCCTTTTGTTAGATAATGATAATATAATATGTAATATTGAGCTTTGAATAGCTAAACCGGTCTCAACCAGCCTCTTTCATATTATATAGAGAGATACAGTGAGGGAAAAAAGTATTTGATCCCCTGCTGATTTTGTACGTTTGCCCACTGACAAAGACATGATCAGTCTATAATTTTAATGGTAGGTTTATTTGAACAGTGAGAGACAGAATAACAACAAAAAAATCCAGAAAAAAACGCATGTCGAAAATGTTGTAAATTGATTTGCATTTTAATGAGGGAAATAAGTATTTGACCCCTCTGCAAAACATGACTTAGTACTTGGTGGCAAAACCCTTGTTGGCAATCACAGAGGTCAGACGTTTCTTGTAGTTGGCCACCAGGTTTGCACACATCTCAGGAGGGATTTTGTTCCACTCCTCTTTGCAGATCTTCTCCAAGTCATTAAGGTTTCGAGGCTGACGTTTGGCAACTCGAACCTTCAGCTCCCTCCACAGATTTTCTATGGGATTAAGGTCTGGAGACTGGCTAGGCCACTCCAGGACCTTAATGTGCTTCTTCTTGAGCCACTCCTTTGTTGCCTTGGCCATGTGTTTTGGGTCATTGTCATGCTGGAATACCCATCCACGACCCATTTTCAATGCCCTGGCTGAGGGAAGGAGGTTCTCACCCAAGATTTGACGGTACATGGCCCCGTCCATCGTCCCTTTGATGCGGTGAAGTTGTCCTGTCCCCTTAGCAGAAAAACACCCCCAAAGCATAATGCTTCCACCTCCATGTTTGACGGTGGGGATGGTGTTCTTGGGGTCATAGGCAGCATTCCTCCTCCTCCAAACACGGCGAGTTGAGTTGATGCCAAAGAGCTCAATTTTGGTCTCATCTGACCACAACACTTTCACCCAGTTCTCCTCTGAATCATTCAGATGTTCATTGGCAAACTTCAGACGGGCATGTAAATGTGCTTTATTGAGCAGGGGAACCTTGCGGGCGCTGCAGGATTTCAGTCCTTCACGGCGTAGTGTCTTATCAATTGTTTTCTTGGTGACTATGGTCCCAGCTGCCTTGAGTTCATTGACAAGATCCTCCCGTGTAGTTCTGGGCTGATTCCTAACCGTTCTCATGATCATTGCAACTCCACGAGGTGAGATCTTGCATGGATCCCCAGGCGAGGGAGATTGTCAGTTCTTTTGTGTTTCTTCCATTTGCGAATAATCGCACCAACTGTTGTCACCTTCTCACCAAGCTGCTTGGCGATGGTCTTGTAGCCCATTCCAGCCTTGTGTAGGTCTACAATCTTGTCCCTGACATCTGTGGAGAGCTCTCTGGTCTTGGCCATGGTGGAGAGTTTGGAATCTGATTGATTGATTGCTTCTGTGGACAGGTGTCTTTTATACAGGTAACAAACTGGGATTAGGAGCACTCCCTTTAAGAGTGTGCTCCTAATCTCAGCTCGTTACCTGTATAAAAGACACCTGGGAGCCAGAAATCTTTCTGATTGAGAGGGGGTCAAATACTTATTTCCCTCATTAAAATGCAAACATTTTTGACATGTGTTTTTCTGGATGTTTTTGTTGTTATTCTGTCTCTCACTGTTCAAATAAACCTACCATTAAAATTATAGACTGATCATTTCTTTGTGAGTGGGCAAACGTACAAAATCAGCAGGGGATCAAATACTCAGTAAAATGTAATGGTTTTATCCACATGGAGGCATTGTCATTTGATTTGATTTGATTTGTCTCTCATTATATAAACCACAGTTCTGGACATGGATTGTTTTTCATGGGGTTCTTATGAAACATCTCTGTATTTATTACAAAGAAGCTCAAGTACTAGGCTGTGTCAGAAGAAGGCCCAAAAAATTGTCAAAGATTCCAGTCACCCAAGTCACCCCCCCCCCCCCCCCCCCCTCCTTAACAGCTTCTACCCCCAAGCCATAAGGCTGCTGAACCATTAATCAAATGGTCACCCGGACTATTTACATTGACCCCCCCCCCACCCCTTGTTTTTACACTGCTGCTATTCGCTGTTTATTATCTATGCATAGTTACTTTACCCCCTACCTACATGTCCAAATTACCTCGACTAACCTGTACTCCCGCACATTGACTTGGTACCGGTACCCCCTGTATATAGCCTCGTTATTGTTATTTTATTGTGTTACTTTTTATTTTATTTTTTTACTTTATTTTATTTAGTAAATATTTTTTAAACTCTATTTCTTGAACTGCATTGTTGGTTAATGGTTTGTAAGTAAGCATTTCACGGTAAGGTCTACACCTGTTGTATTCAGCACATGTGACAAATAAAAATTGATTTGAAGTACAAAAATCCAGTTGTATACAGTCCGTTTTACAAAGGCTTTACCGAAGATTCAGAGGAATGTATTATTTTTATCATGAAACAATTCAGAGCATTTATAACCATGATGACATTTATCCTCCTAATTGTAGATTCTTGCAAAGAAGACATGAGGTTTACTGTATATAAAAAGAACAGAAAACCGTATTAACCACAACAACAAAAATACTTTTACTGCCATCCCTGTGATGTTTGTCCTGACCTCCTCCCCACAGCTTTCTGAGAAAGACAGATTAAGAGTCATCTCCCTGGGAGAGGGCCCTCTATTGACAGATTAACCAATTTAAGACTGGTTACATTTAGATCGTGTAGTAGGCCTACTGTATGTGTTTCAGATAAATCCAAGCCCACAGTCTAGATTAGAATACTTGAAAGCTGGAATATTTCAGGGAAGTCCAACCTTGGAAATCGTTGGTCAAACTTGGTGCTTAGGTACTAATCTCAAATCAACTGAACCAATGTTTCCTCTCATCACATTACAGAGCACTTCTCCTCTGCTTTAGATTTCATCTCAACCATGGTGGCCGAGGCTTTCTCCTTGATCTGGTCCATATCCATGTTCTGGAGGTTCTGTATCTGGCCCAGGATAGAGTCCTTCTCCTCCTCCTCTGTGGCATCCTCATCCACCATTTTGAGTAGTTCTTCAGGCACGTCGATGTCGTCTCCTGCCAACTCCATCAGGTTTGCGTCCTGTTCACTCTAAACACAGCAAGCAATGCACAGATCAGACTGGCTGAGGACGAATGTATTATGCCCACGTCCAGTATCAATATTCTCATGTTTAAATTCTATAGTTTATCTTCCTGGCCCATTAAAAAAAACATATAATATTTATTTCCTGACCATGTGACCTGACCAGGTACGATTTTGGGCCGGAAGGCACCTGATTCGGTCACGTGGTCAGAAAACATTTCTGCCCCTAGGTCCAACAGCTAAATAAACAGCTTAGCATTGCATGTGACCCTCTATGACCCTGACAGGGCCTGTGATATAGATGGCATACACACACACATACACACAGGGCATTTCAGGCCTGGGGCTCAAACGCAGGATAGCCGCGGTCACTGGTCTTTTTTTATGCCTTAATCTCTTTGCTCTACTCAGGCCTATCTGACTAGCAGGCCATGTGCTCCTGTAAATGTACTCAGTCACACACTCTGACACCGACCGACACAGCCTCTGTTGCATCATTTTACTCATTTGTGATAATGTGTTCTCGTTTACTGAGAAATTGCATAAGATTATCACCTTACGTCATTCACAGAAAATTACAAATGTGTGTTTTTTATTATTGAGGCCATTTTGCTATTGAGGGCATTTTTATCAAAAAAATCATTTTTCAAAGTATTTCTTCTATGCATTTCTCCTCTTGTTTCATATGACATGAGCATGGAGGAGAATGACAGGAGACTGTCTTACCTTTGGTAGTCTGTATTTGTCTCTTAAGCACGTTCTCAGTGTGGCCCTCTCAGCCTTCTTTACCAAGAACTCTGAATCTCTCTCCATCCTGTTTTCAGACAAGAACAGAAACGATGTTACCAAACCTATAAAAGCTTATTAATATATTGTCCAGCAGTCTATCATATAACTCTTCCAAAATTCTAAAAAGGTAAACAGCTTGTATTTTCACTGTGTGATGCTGGTTGTGTAAAGGTTTGCATTCTTTTTTTCAGAGATACAAATCTGTGTACAGATCTGTTTCTATGCTTCTGTGCAATGATAATTATTCAAGGCCATTGCAGTTTTCATATCAATCAATCACATTTTATAGGCGTCAGTTCTAAATAAGATAATGTAGGAAAACAAAAAAATATAAATGACTCAGTTTCTGGGGCAGCAGAGTAATATATATTTTTATATTAATCTCCAGATTATGGCAGCATTGTCAATCCCACCACTCTCAGCAATTGGAGACAGACAGTAATTCTGAATTAATCTGGGTGTGAAGTAATCTAGGACTGTATGGTGGTTAGTCTGCCTTCAGTTTGACTCTTGTGATCCTAATATTTGGTAAAGCATTCTTCATAAAAATTGTAAAATATGTTCCATTTTATTTTACTTTTATCAGTGTAATACTGTTGACTCAAGGTACATTTACAGGTGGTTTTCTCATTGCACTGTATCTCCTTTACAACTGTTTGGCTTTTTTACTTCACATAACTAGGATAATAAAAATGTGCTAAAATTTTTCACAAAAGCTAAAGTTTCAAACTAAATCCTCTGCTCTTGCTTGCTATTGAATAAATATAATAAAAAATGTCAATTTTAATCATTCCAATGAGGTTGGCCTCAGATTCAGGAGTATAATTTATTTTACATTTAATTTCAATTGAATAAGAATTCAATCTGTACTTCTTATATTTGGCTGAATTGAAATGGAATTGACCCAACCTTGAAGCATTCCTTTCCCCCTAAGCATCCTTTCCAGTTGTTTGATTACCACTTTGTATGACTTTTTACAGTACAGTAAAATAAGGGCTAGTAGTAGTGACTTACTTTTCCTCCACCATCTGTTTCTGGTACTCCTCTGCCTCCTCTCTAGACATCCCCTCGGTGGACATGGTGACGTCTCCTTTTCCTCTGGTAAAACACTAGAGGAGAGAGCTGGACTGGACAGTGCTCTACTACTGTAGCTCTTCACCAAACTGCTCGACTACTCACTCTCAGCCTCAACCGGGTGAATACCCTACCAGGGGATTTGCAGACAAGTTTTGGTCACTGAGTCCCTGGATTCGATTGGTCTCCAAGCAGGCTAAGCCAAGAGAGGCCTTAGACTGAGGGATGGCGCTGTGAAGGGCACGGCTGATCACTGATGGGCCATGTAACTAAATCTGAGGAATTTCTGCTAACACAATAATCTGGATTAATCCATTTGGGGACAGATGGTTTAAATTAAAACATTTAATATAAGTAATGAAAGTGAAAGTTCACAGGGACTGCTTTTGAGATGGGTACTATTGTGGTTTAGACTGGTACAGTGGTATATTCTACAGACAGGGCAGGGCGCTAGACTCACTACTCTTGTCTCATGCTACGAGTTTGACTTTAATCCCCTTACATCCCCAACCACAGCCTGAGCGCCAATAGATGTCCCAGACAGAGAGAGTGGAAATTGTATACCACTGAGTAAATCACTAGATCTGCACTCAATACATTCAACTATACTGTCTTGTCCAAGGTAAACAACTTTCAACATATGCATTTCATTCGAATATAAAAATTGTGAATACAGAAATGGTATTGAATACTGAAGTAAACTCAACCGTTGCCAATATTAGCACAGGTGATGTTTATGGTATAAATCTGATATTGTACATATCATTTGGGGGGAATAATGGACAAGGACTTTGGACAGTGATCTCCAAGATGACAGGCCTGCTGTACCATGTGACTTACAGCCGTCCTACACCACATCTTACATGACCTGTATATCTATTTACCCCCCTCCCCACAAGTTATTTTTCAACCAAATGTTTGTACTGTAGTGTAGGCTTGTCATATGATACTCACTGTACTGTACTTTTTTTTGCACCTTCCATTACAGGGTTGCTGTTGCACTATGGGACAGGACTGTCTGTACCCTTGGTCTGTGTCTGTATGAATAATAGATGAACACCAGCAGGCAGAGGAGGAAGTAGGCTGATATCTTTGCTGCGTCACCGATGCTGAGGGGAAGAACAAGGAGGGGAGGGAAGGAGGCCCCAGCGAGAGAGAGAGAGGAGTAGCAGGTAGCTGATGAGAGAGAGAGATCTGATAGAAAAACTCTATGCAGCAGATAATACAGGACTAGCTGACTGACTGAAACAACCATGTTTTCGCCCTGGATCCCTTCCCTTCAGCTCATCCTGCTTCCTCTCTGCTGGAGAGGCATCTATACAAGTAAATATAGATTCTGTATTTTATATGTATCAGCTTTGTACACAGGTCTTTCTGCTTGGCCAGTTGTGATGAAAAATTGTGGCTGTGAGTCTTCGCTGCAGCAGTACATCTGCAAATGTGCATTAGATTTTCACAGTAACTGCATTGGTGTGGTGTATTCAATATGCTTCTAATCCTTCATTATTATGTATCAGGAGGACATTGGACCCAATAACTTGGTCTGTTGTATGCTTCGATACTGCATCACCAGAGATGCCATTTTTTTCATTACTGAGACAAATTTCCGTTACTGGTGGTGTGCTGCTGGCAATGACTTTGAAATGTGTACTGTTAGCATCCTGTGCTTTACATGACTATTACATGGCCTACCCTTTGTGGCAGTTAACTGCTTAAATGTCAGATATATGTCATATACAGTACTCGGTCATTCCACCAAATTGAGTACCTTTTGTGGTAGTGTAACTTGGTAAAAAAAATACCACATGTTCAACTCAATAGAAAACATGTTTTATCATCTCAAGAGGTTAAATAAAGACATTACTGTAGTAAGTGCCTATTAAGTGCTAAATAAAGGGTTGACCGTATCAGGGTTGACAATTTAATCTTAAATCAGCCATGAATCACCTTGTGATAGGGGGAATGGAAGCTTGTTGTGTGCAACAGGGAGTGTTGTTAAAACATTTCTAGCCTGTTTATCTATAGGTAACAGGGTTGACGTGTTATGCTCGACCTGCTCAGTTTTCTACCACAACATGGACAAAAAGCACACTATTTCACTATTAGATGTTCAATGTTCCTTTAGAATTTTTTTTTATTAAAGGAATAGTTTCAGCATATTAAAACTCACTGGCCAGTTTATTAGGTACTCCCATCTAGTACCGGGTCGGAGCCCGCTTTGCCACCAGAACAGCCTGAATTCTTCACAGAGGGACATGTCAAAACTCAGAATTTTTGATTTATTGAATTTTACATGTGGTCTATATTGAAGGGCACTTCATTTAATATGCCAGGCTTTTATAATGCAATATTTGTGCACAATTTCTACTTAAAATATCAAAGGGACTCAAAATTTACTCTTTTCGTGGATCAACCCTACTATGTTTAGTGTTAAGACTACTGAGCTTTGAAAAAGTATGTACATATAGTGCCTTCAGAAAGTATTCACACCCCTTTACTTTTCCGAGATTTTGTTGTGTTACAGCCTGAATTTAAAATGATTACATTTAGATTTTGTGTCACTGGCCTACACACAATACCCCATAATGTCAAAGTGGAATTATGTTTTTATTAATTTTTACAAATTAATAAAACATGAAAAGCTGAAATGTATTCAACCACAAAGACCAGGAATGTTTTCCAATGCCTCGCAAAGAAGGGCACCTATTGGTTGATGGTTAAAAAAAAAGCAGACACTGAATATCACTTTGAGCATGGTAAAGTTATTAATTACACTTTGGATAGTGTATCAATACACACAGTCACTACAAAGATACAGGCATCCTCCCTAACTCAGTTGCCGGAGAGGAAGGAAACCGCTGAGGGATTTCACCATGAGGCCAATTGTGACTTTAAAACAGTTACAGAGTTTAATGGCTGTGATAGGAGTAAACTGAGGATGGATCTACAATATTGTAGTTACTCCACAATCCTAACCTGAATGACAGAGTGAAAAGAAGGAAGCCTGTACAGAATAAAACATATTCCAAAACATGCATCCTGTTTGCATTAAGGCCCTAAAGTAAAACTGCAAAAGATGAAGCAAAGAAAATGAACTTTAGGTCCTGAGTACAAAGTGTTATGTTTGGTGCAAATCCAACACAACACATCACTCAGTAACACTCTTCATATCAAACAACAATGTTTATGTTAATTTCCCTTACAGCAGAAACAAATCCTCAGTTGGTTTTGACGGATCCAGTCACAACAGTCTTTAAGAGTGCAGTCCTGAAAGGTAACTACTAGAGAGTTCTTGTTTTAGTCACTAGTTTGTGTTGTTGGTGTTCACAATTTTATATTGTAGTGGTGTAGTGTTACATGTTAATTCCATTCTTCACTCAATCATCTTGTGATACTTTAGAAAATGTTTTGTCTGAAATTCTGGTATATGTTCATCTGCATGTTTTGTGTAAAGTTTACATATCTATTTTAGCTGTATTATAGGGTTGAACAGTTGTCTCATTTTAGCTTCTTTCTTTCTATCTGTTTGAAATCCCACCAAAATTCTAAACACAGGGGACAGTCTGGTTGAAAAAGTTGAAATCTTGAAACCCATCGATTTAGAGCTAGCATGTACCTGGACCGGTAATCCAAACAAACTACCAAACATTACCGGGTACTGGCGAAAAGATGGGATTGAAATTCCTAACTCTCGGCTTACTGTACAATTGGAGAATGAACAATATAATCTCAAAAGAGTGTAAGTATGTATTCATTATTCCATCAGGGATAGAGAATGTAAACCTGAAATGTAACTGTCTGTCATCTACATGTAAATATACACAGAAATATACAATGGTCTATGATAACTATGTTAATTATACAGGTTGGGAGAATATCTTCAGTATCTACTTTGACGACAACCAACCCGTACCTCTAGACCAGACTCGATTGGACCAGAGTAATAAAAAAATAATGTTTATCAGCTAAATTGCTCTTCTGGTTAACGAATAGGTATTTATATGTTGGCTAGGCCTTCTAGAAGTCATTCAATTCAGTTTATTAGCGTAAAATAAATATGCTATAGGCTATGCAGAGTGGGTCCATTCGGGTCCAATCGAGTTTATCAGCTGTAGTTACATAGACCCAAGACTAGGGCAGAGACCCGATGACAATCAAACAGGACCCGACCCAGACCTGAGGGAAAAGTTTGGGTCCCGGGTCGGGTCTCGGGTATTCGGGTTGACCCGTGAAGACCTCTACGATGTATTACTTTGTGCAAATACACTTTTGGTAAAGGACTTGGTAATATTTCACTACTGAAGCAGTTAAAATTATACACTTTGCCTCTGTTATTTTGTATCCCAGAGCAGTGGGTTCCTTGACTACCAGCAATCACCTGTTTGTCAGACTGTAACCAATCCTGGCCCATGGCCAGAGGCTAGAGCCCATTTCTTGCCAACATCTTCTAATGATGTGCCTAATTGACATTTGATAGTGAATGTTTCTTAGACTGACAAAACATCTATATTTTAGATATACAGTGGGGGAAAAAAGTATTTAGTCAGCCACAAATTGTGCAAGTTCTCCCACTTAAAAAGATGAGAGAGGTCTGTAATTTTCATCATAGGTACACGTCAACTATGACAGACAAAATGAGGAAAAAAAATCCAGAAAATCACATTGTAGGATTTTTAATGAATTTATTTGCAAATTATGGTGGAAAATAAGTATTTGGTCAATAACAAAAGTTTCTCAATAATTTGTTATATACCCTTTGTTGGCAATGACACAGGTCAAACGTTTTCTGTAAGTCTTCACAAGGTTTTCACACACTGTTGCTGGTATTTTGTAGCCGTGGTCCTCTGTAGCTCAGCTGGTAGAGCACGGCGCTTGTAACGCCAAGGTAGTGGGTTCGATCCCCGGGACCACCCATACACAAAAAATGTATGCACGCATGACTGTAAGTCGCTTTGGATAAAAGCGTCTGCTAAATGGCATATTATTATTATTATTATTATAATATTATTATTATTATTTTGGCCCATTCCTCCATGCAGATCTCCTCTAGAGCAGTGATGTTTTGGGGCTGTCGCTGGGCAACACAGACTTTCAACTCCCTCCAAAGATTTTCTATGGGGTTGAGATCTGGAGACTGGCTAGGCCACTCCAGGACCTTGAAATGCTTCTTACGAAGCCACTCCTTCGTTGCCCGGGTGGTGTGTTTGGGATCATTGTCATGCTGAAAGACCCAGCCACGTTTCATCTTCAATGCCCTTGCTGATGGAAGGAGGTTTTCACTCAAAATCTCACGATACATGGCCCCATTCATTCTTTCCTTTACACGGATCAGTCGTCCTGGTCCCTTTGCAGAAAAACAGCCCCAAAGCATGATGTTTCCACCCCCATGCTTCACAGTAGGTATGGTGTTCTTTGGATGCAACTCAGCATTCTTTGTCCTCCAAACACGACGAGTTGAGTTTTTACCAAAAAGTTATATTTTGGTTTCATCTGACCATATGACATTCTCCCAATCCTCTTCTGGATCATCCAAATGCACTCTAGCAAACTTCAGACGGGCCTGGACATGTACTGGCTTAAGCAGGGGGACACGTCTGGCACTGCAGGATTTGAGTCCCTGGCGGCGTAGTGTGTTACTGATGGTAGGCTTTGTTACTTTGGTCCCAGCTCTCTGCAGGTCATTCACTAGGTCCCCCCGTGTGGTTCTGGGATTTTTGCTCACCGTTCTTGTGATCATTTTGACCCCACGGGGTGAGATCTTGCGTGGAGCCCCAGATCGAGGGAGATTATCAGTGGTCTTGTATGTCTTCCATTTCCTAATAATTGCTCCCACAGTTGATTTCTTCAAACCAAGCTGCTTACCTATTGCAGATTCAGTCTTCCCAGCCTGGTGCAGGTCTACAATGTTGTTTCTGGTGTCCTTTGACAGCTCTTTGGTCTTGGCCATGGTGGAGTTTGGAGTGTGACTGTTTGAGGTTGTGGACAGGTGTCTTTTATACTGATAACAAGTTCAAACAGGTGCCATTAATACAGGTAACGAGTGGAGGACAGAGGATCCTCTTAAAGAAGAAGTTACAGGTCTGTGAGAGCCAGAAATCTTGCTTGTTTGTAGGTGACCAAATACTTATTTTCCACCATAATTTGCAAATAAATTCATAAAAAATCCTACAATGTGATTTTCTGGAAAAAAAATTCTCAATTTGTCTGTCATAGTTGACGTGTACCTATGATGAAAATTACAGGCCTCTCTCATCTTTTTAAGTGGGAGAACTTGCACAATTGGTGGCTGACTAAATACTTTTTTTCCCCACTGTAAGTGAAAATTAAGCTATGATTATATTAGCAATGATTATATCTTTTACAGGTTCAGAATTAATGAGGATACCCTTGGGAATTACTCATGCATCTTTAGTGATACCGACAAGGAGGCAAAAATTGATTTCAATTTGGCAGGTACAGTATGTTATATGACATAAGTTGATGCATACACCATATTTCACATTCTCTAGTCTCATTCAAAGCCATGTATTGCTACAGGCATGTCAAGTTAGGCTACATATTCTCTGTCATCCAGTATTACACGTTTTCATTAAATAGAAAGTTTAGTGACATGATCCTTCACAACATTACAAGAATGCACAGAAATTGACTAAAAACCCATCTGTGCAAGGCGCTGGCAATTTGTATTGAGTAATGAAGTGTGCCTATAGATAGCATTGTGATCTTGATACTGGTACCTTTCTTTTCCTCCAGCCCCAGAGGTGGGCGATAAGACGGACAAGCCTATTGTTGCCTATGTGGGGGACTCTGTGGCGATGGCCTGTAAAACCAAGCTTCCCCCTAACACCTGGCTTTGGTACAAAGCAAACGGAACTGAGCAGGTGAGAAGGCTGCCCAAATGTAATCAATGTGTAAAGGGAGACGTAGTTAATAACTAATGTTGATGGCGTATTGTAACCTAAGATGTTTTTATTTCACTCAACTTACAGTTGACCATTAATAAGTCATATAATGTTATTTCATTTGACAGTTATGACAATTATCAATAGTACCGCTTTGTCTTAGAGGCTTCGTTCCATCATTTTCTTTTGGTTTCAGGAACTCATCAATGCATCTACTGACCCCCTTCGTTACAAGATTATTATTGTGGATGGAAACACAACCAAGCTCACTGTGATGAACCTGACAGAGGAGGACTCTGGTGTCTATGTCTGCAGCGCCATCTATAATATCAAGGCCAGTGTGAGCCGGGTGGAAGTTCGGGTCATCACCTTCATGGAGCCTCTGAAACCCTTCATAGCCATCGTGGCTGAGGTGATCATCCTGGTCCTCCTCATTCTGCTCTATGAGAGGTGGAGCTCACGGAAGAGCAGTAACTCGCCAACAGGTAATAACATACATACTGCTTTGCATACAGCTTTGTGTAGCATATGGGGATGTGTGAAACTTACTCCTCAACCTGAAGTGTCCCCACTTGCGCCACCGAATAGCTAGCTTTTCGTGTGGCGCGACTGGTAAGACACTTCGGGAGGGTGGTCACGTTTCACGTGAGTCGAATCAGGAGGAAGCGATACTCGCTAAGCAAGCAGCGTGACGCCCTCAACATTTGCATACAGCTTTGCAGTAGCTTTCAGGACCATTGTTTTATCCTCCATGTATTGTGTTCTATATAACATGATGGTCGTCCTTTGTAGGTATAAAATTAAACTCTCACATTTTCTTATTCTCAGAAAATGGGATGCATGCTGAACAAACGCATAAATTGTGAGTATTTTTTAAAAAGCTAATCATGCCTTATTCAAGGGAATTGTATTGTTTGACTGATTCTTACAGTGACATTATTTTGCACATACGGTCTTTTCAATACTAAGATGCTCTTTTTAATTTCTGCTATTTTAGGACAAGGGAAGGTAATAATGGAATGGATGAGAATACCACAACGAGACAACGAAAGATTTAAACAGATACAGCATCAACAGGGTAAATAAACTATAAGAAATGTATGTTCCTAGTGCTAAATTTGGTTCTCTGAGTGTGCTTGAAACCATTTCTTATTCATAAATCAATAGCAAAAAAAATGTAACAATGATAAGTAGTTTCATAACCTTACTCAACAAGAAAACGTCTTATGGCAAACTGTTGCAGGAACACCTTTTCCACAAAAACATCCTCTACCAAAGACATCTACCATAAAATGTCACCCTTTCTGAATGCGTGAACTGAAAAATCTTAGTAAAATATGTTTTCTTTGTGGGTCAATAATTATATTCATGCAACAATGCATTTCTTCTGCATTTAGACAGAAATTATCCCTATATTTGTATTTGTCCATGATTCATTAACCATCATACTACCAGTACCTATGACGTTGTGAAAATAGCAGTGATATCTAAGCACAGTGTGTTGTTTGGTTCGGTTGATGAGATAGCTCGAGAGGCCTTCTCTTGCCTAACAGGATGTGTGTGCCTGTGGTTTAACATAAATGCCTATGTCTTCCTGTTTGACAAGTCTTCTTACTCATCTTCAACTGCACTTATCAATTACATATGGTAGTTGGTGTGCAGTACCTTGTACTTTGACAAACAAGTAAATTCTCTGCTTTGCTGATATAATTAATCCCTTGAAGTCCCATATGACATTTATTTTACATTATCTGTCAGTGTTAAAGCCGTGTGCCTTTAATATACATTTTAAAATGCTATATTATTGTTGTCCTAACTCAGATGTAACTTTCCTGTTGTATATGAATGGTAAATAAAAATCCTAATGATGGATCATCTTTGTCAGTATCCCTGATAAATAGTTGTGGCAAATATATTTATAACTAACAAGATAGTTCATCTGTGTAGTTTTTAATGGGAGCAAATTAAGCATAGTGGGCAGAGCCAAGCACAAGCTACCAAGATCCTATTGGCGCGTTCTAGCATTAATTTGCATATTTCCATTAGGAAACTTTGGCAAAGGGTCACATCTACAAAACGTAGTGCACTCTGTTTGTAACCGATTCTAGTTTTGGGAACAGATAACTGTATTGAGATCGGGCTTTTCTTCTATGAGAAATATCAGCAGAATGTCGGCCCAGTTCCATCTCGCTCCATACTCTCCCACTGGGCTTCCTCTCCTCACCATATTTGGTGGGTAGTGGAAATTCTAACCGGATGCTTCAGATTTATACATCTGGCTCCTTGTTCCACCTGTGGCTGTGCCGTTTTTCCACATTGACTAAGCGACACCTAATGGCAAATAGCAGAACACCAGAAGCAGGGTGTTCAACAATAATCACCGAAGCGGGGTATGAGCCAATCTTTCCCCATTGAAACAGTCTATGACTTGGGTGTCTGGAGTCTGACAATTTGTAGGGCCTTCCTCTGACACCGCCTGGTATAGAGGTCCTGGATGGTAGGGATCTCGGCCCCAGTGATGTACTGGGCCGTACGCACCCACTACCCTCTGCAGTGCCTTGCGGTCGGATGCCGAGCAGTTGCCATACCAAGCGGTGATGCAGCCAGTCAAGATGCTCTCAATGATGCAACTTTTTGAGGAACTGAGGGGCCCATGCCAAATCTTTTCAGCCTCCTGAGGGGGAAGAGGCATTGTTGTGCCCAGTTCACTACTATTTGGTGTGTTTGGACCATGATAGGTCCTTAGTGATGTTGACACCAATCAACCCTGTATGCAACTGTTGTTTTCCTTATTTTTTTCCCCACATTAATACATTCTGCCAGATCATACCAGAGATGTACGGTATATATACACATACATACTGTACATGTTCAGTGTCCATGAATTGACATTTGCCACTGTTGAATCCAGATGGAAACAGTTCAACAAAAACACTTATTTTACCCTACATGTCCACCTGACCTGCCCAGTAGGAACCAGACCAGGAGCTTGAGGACCCTGTCATCCAGCCCCACCACAACAACATCCTTCACCTCATACAGACAAATACTGTCTGTCCCCCAGCACAAGTTCTTCCTGGGGTTAACAGCATCCGTCTCCATGGACAGGGCCAGGGTGTTGAGCTGGTAACAGAAGAAGGAGAAGTACTGGCCATCAGTGATCCCAGCCTGGGACACAAAGGGCCTGGTCACATCCTCATCCTCGTGGCTTCAGAAACCTGGTTATGTTTTGTTCAAGATTACAAATGTGCTTTAACAACAAATGGTGGTATTCACAACTAAAATGCATCAAGAATACATTTATTCAAGAGCAGTCAGAGAAAACAGCTGAATGGTAAAATGAATGAAAAGTTACTAATGCTCAGGATGGTAAGGAGAATAACACCTGATTTTCAAGTAATGACTCTACACACCTTGACTGGCAATGCCATTAGCTCTCAGGTAGACCGCGATCTGGTCAGTCAGGTTCCGTTTGGCCATTTTGTCCCTGCGGTACCTATCAGGGACCAGGTGGAACTGGGTGTGGCCATAACACCCTGGGTCAGGAACCTTGGCTCCTGGGAAAGCAAAGAGAGAAAAATATCCATGTTAAAATAGACACCTACACAGAATACATTGATACCACCACCACTAGTGGAAACAATGTGTGGTTAGTTGATGCGCCACCTATGAGAATGACAAAGTAAATGGCTAAAGAGGAAACAGACCGGTTCCAGGCTAGCGCAAACATATTGATCAATATTACTAGATTAACAACCAAAACCTTGTGACACTCATTTTACATCCAGAGCCAACTCCATTATTACCTGTGAAGATGTTGTTCTCATACTGTCTCCTGAACATGGGAAGCAGGTCTGGGGCACACTTTATCTCTAGGTCATCAGCAGAAATCGCTGCCTCAAGGGAGACAAACTGGAAGAGATGGTCCATGGAGATCAATTTGCAAACGACTCGCACTCTAATGTAGGTCTAATTCCATCCCCAAAAAACAGTTTGGCCAAAACCCAGCTTGACGAATTGACGTCAATGTTTGACATATGATAATAGCTAGCTCTCTAAAACTCTAGGCGGCATTCTGCCTTCTCCCTACAGTTTTCAGCCATTAGCTTTGCCCACAACTGGCTCATGTGAACTACAATCCCCATGCTGTATTTTTACGTTTAGAAACATCAATAACATTGCTTGCGATACGGCTTTCGAAACATATGGCCCTTATCTTTCATCAGCGAGAAAGAATCCTTCAAATAAAAAAGATACACTTACTGTAGCAGTTTTGCACTGATCCATACAGCTATGGGTGCCTTCATCCAACAAAACTACACTTCAGCTACACTTCCCGAGTTACGCTTACACACAGGTGTTCGGAACAAACTAGATAGCTAATTAGCACAGGTGGTCGCCTCTCGTCTTCCGTAAACAAGTGCTGTAACATGGAGATATGGCCGTGTGGGAACACTATCAAGGTGTGTATCAATTTAACCTTTTCGTTTATTTCTCGTAGATATTAAAAATAAGGTCCTTATGCTTCCAAAACCACACCGCAAGCGATGCGTTAATGTACAGTTTGAGCGTAGGGGCTCTTAACAAAACTCCCCCGTACAGAAGACGCCTTTGTCCAATTACTCTTATGTGTAATGGAATGGAACTGAGAGTAATGATCATGGGCTAGATAATAACTTGATAATCACTGAGTTTTGCATCACTGTTGCTGTGTATGTAGTACCTGTGGAAGTTGTTGAGGTATCCTTATCTGACTGTGTGGTTTATCGTCAATCTGGAATCTGATTGGCTTGCCGCGGCCACCCTGATGTCCCCTTGGAAAGGTCCTCTGTCCTCTCATCCAGTAGAAGTTTACCTGAGGGTCAAGATCTAAACAACAGAGTGATGTTAGATGAGACAGTCTCTGCTATGCAAAAGACTGACTATGACTCAACTTCCTCTTAAATATAATTGAGCTAGTGCCAGTGATGACTTTTTAATGCTTACATATCATGCCTTGGACTGAGGGTGGGTTTGGGGGTGATTATGAATAAATTAACGAATAAATGGTTTACCTAAACTTGACAGCTGCAGTACAGGGTTGTGTTTGGCCATAGTGTGCGTGAGTCCAGACCCCAGGTTTCTCAGAAAAGGTGCCACATAATATGTTTTTGTTCCCTTTGCAAGAACGGTTGACGTTTATTCATGTACCAGTTCTCTTGTAAATTGAATTGCTGACATTGGAACAGATGTCAGCAAATACATTTGTCAATGGTGGATGATGCATTCTGAGTGGCAGGCGCCGAATCCTTGGTCTCTTCCACGATGAGCTTATCAGGTAGTTCTTTGTATCAACGATCCGGTCGCTTCTAAACACAAGTCAATTTTTATGAATTAATTACTGTAAAGGCAACTGTATAAGCGCCGCCATGTTTGTTGCTAATGCGAGTTCTTCTTCTGTGCATCTCGTGCAACCTCCTCAAACGCGGAATATCGCCACCACGTGGAGGGGTGAAATACTATTCGAGTGTCTGGGCCACTGGTGTCTGTATGCTATAAATGGAATGGTTATTCTAATCGAAAATGTTATGTTTACAACATTTTACACCAATCATGGAAGGCACGATTTTTAAAATGTTACAGTTTTGAAACAACGTTTTGATTCTTGAATACAACTTCATCCTCAAGTGCAGTGCAGACATCATATCCGTTTGAATAGCTATTCTCCAAACTGAATTTGCACAGCGTGCACTAATATAATTTTCGCGGGTACAATGCTTCAGGACAAGTGTTTGCCATTCGCGCACTGCATGCCGAGCTGAGGTAGCTATTCTGAGAATAAATCTAATTGTTTTAATCTTAGTAGTCGGCATTTTTTTACTGACGTAGAGCGCAATGATCATGGGAAAATGTGTCCTCACCAAGAGGTTGGGGTTGTTAGAATGGTTCATGGACGTTTTCCACTGCCACTGCAGTGTTTGCAATATCATGCCTTCTTGGCGTCCGCGTGCTTCCCAGCCGAAACAGTTCGGAAGAGTTCGTGCGTATATTATGACAACGTTTTGGACTTCGGTAAGGGTTTTTTAGGCTGTTCGGTCACACACATTTTTTTCTCAAGGTCAGTCGAAGTTCGGGAGCCGAAGTCTACGACGCTTCGTCCGTGATTGGTCAACTGTAGGGAGTCTTTGTTGTCATTCAACGAAAGACGACTCGTTTTCATGCAATTGTTTTCATTGAGTAATACTGCACCAAACATCTTAGTTATATGTAAAAATTGCGCGTCTAAGAGCTCCTCGGCAAAAACGTCAAAATTAATGACATTTGTTGAGTTATCTTAGATTCATTCTGACTATTTTGAGGAATACTGGCTACGGGCATCCCAAAATGGACAAAGTCTAATTGCTGACAAAAAAAGCAACATTTGGAGAAAAAAAATAGTATGTGAATGAAGGTAATGCTTAAGCGAATGAACTATAAAAGGAAATAGACTTTATTGTTTTGTTATTTCATTAAATGTTGTTTTTAGAAAAGGGGTGTTTTTTTAAAGTACGGTCCTCCCCCATGGGGTAACTGGCCCCCGGGTTGTGTCAGTTACCCCGGTAGAAGATCATGGCATAGGGTTTCACACAAGTGTGTTAAAATCCATTTAATCAGTTTGATTTAGAAATTATTTAGTAAGTAATACTTAAAAGCTAAGTCTAGTTGTCTTATTTTAATTATTTAATTAAATATGGGGGGAAATGGTGTTGCACATGTCACCATTAATATCAGCACTGAGGAGATTTGATGTAAAGTCCCTCTTTTTAACTCACCTGCACATGAATTATTTGTTATTTCTTTGTTGTTCCTTTTCCATACAATCCATTATGTACAATTGCACTAAATATTATTTGAATAATGCTAGATTTTAAATCCCAGCAGTTTTTAAAATGACATTCAGGAGCAAAACGTTTTCAATAGTTCTTTGTTATTCATACAAAAATAAATATTAATTGGACTCTAATATTGGAATGGAATATAACTAATAACATTGGAATATAACATTTTAATAAGAATAAGAATTCTAATTTGTACATAGGTCACACATAAAGCTATCCCCAGTAAAATTGTAGCACAACTCATGAGCCCACCTCCTGCACTGCTCACACCTAATCCAGTCCCCACCTGTGACTGAAAACGGGGAGAGATGCAAATTGAAAAGCTCTCTCTTAAAAACGTAGCTAGCTATCTAGCTACAGTGCATTCGGAAAGTATTCAGATCCCTTGACTTTTTTTAAAATTTTGTTACGTTACAGCCTTATTCTAAAATTGATTACTTATTTTTTTTTCTTCAATCTACACACAATACCCCATAATGACAAAGCAAAAACAGTCTAATTCAGACCCTTTGCTATGAGACTCGAAATTGAGCTCAGGTGCATCCTGTTTCAATTGATCATCCTTGAGATGTTTCTACAACTTTATTGGAGTCCACCTGTGGTCAATTCAATTGATTGAACATGATTTGGAAAGGCACACACCTGTCTATATAAGGTCCCACAGTTGACAGTGCATGTTAGAGCAAAAACTAAGCCATGAGGTCGAAGGAGTTGTCCGTAGAGCTCCAAGACAGGATTGTGTCGAGGCACAGATCTGGGGAAGGGTACCAAAACATTTCTGCAGCATTGAAGGTCCCCAAGAAGAGTGGCCTCCATCATTCTTAAATGGAAAAACTTTGGAACCACCAACACTCTTCCTATTGCTGGCCGCCCGGCCAAACTGAGCAATCGCGGGAGAAGGACCTTGGTCAGGGAGGTGACCAAGAACCCGATGGTCACTCTGACAGAGCTCCAGAGTTCCTCTATGGAGATGGGAGAACCTTCCAGAAGGACAACCATCTCTGCAGATCCCACCAATCAAGCCTTAATGGTAGAGTGGCCAGACGGAAGCCACTCCTCAGTAAAATGCACGACTGCCCTCTTGGAGTTTGCTAAAACGCACCTAAAGACTCTCAGACCATGAGAAACAAGATTCTCTGGTCTGATTAAACCAAGAGTGAACTCTTTGGCCTGAATGCCAAGCGTCACGTATGGAGGAAACATGGCACCATCCCTACGGTGAAGCATGGTGGTAGCAGCATCATGCTGTGGGGATGTTTTTCAGTGGCAGGGACTGGGAGACTAATCAGGATCGAGGGAAAGATGAAAGTAGCAAAGTACAGAGAGATCCTTGATGAAAACCTGCTCCAGAGTGCTCAGGACCTCAGACTGGGGTGAAGGTTGACCTTCCAACAGGACAATGACCCTAAGCACACAGCCAAGACAACGCTGGAGTGGCTTCGGGACAAGTCTCTGAATGTCCTTGAGTGGCCCATCCAGAGGCCGGACATGAACCCGATCGAACATCTCTGGAGAGACCTGAAAATAGCTGTGCAGCGACGCTCCCCATCCAACCTGACAGAGCTTCAGAGGATCTGCAGAGAAGAATGGGAGAAACTCCCCAAATACAGGTGTGCCAAGCTTGTAGTGTCTTACCCAAGAAGAATCAAGGCTGTGATCGCTGCCAAAGTTGCTTCAACAAAGTACTGAGTAAAGGGTCTGAATACTTATGTAAATGTTATATTTCAGTTTATTTTTAATACATTTGCAAACATTTCTAAAAACCTGTTTTTGCTTTGTCAATATGGGTATTGTGTGTAGATTGATGAGGGAAAAAAACGATTTAATCAATTGTAGAATAAGGCTGTAATGTAACAAAATGTGGAAAAAGTCAAGGGGTCTGAATACATTCCGAATGCACTGTATATGACATATCATGTTGTGTAAAATAGCTAAAAGGCTATAAAGTAACATTAACTGTAACGCTATCAGTCACTAGTGGAAACATTTACAACTACAATTAAGTTACGTTACCTTTTCAATGTATTTTACCTCAGACGATCTGGTAGTAAGGTTGCTAGCTAGCACTCCAAGCAGCTTATGCTAACTAGCTAGCTGGCTAGCATTTACTGCTAGTGAAGTTGCTAGCTAGCAAGTTAGCATAAACTAGCGTTAACTGGGCTAGTCATTGTGTAAATGACAGGTAGAAACACATTCATAACCATAAAGGGGTAACTAGCCCCCAGGGGCCAGTTACCCCCTAGTAGGGGAGGGGCGAGTTGCCCCCACACTCATCCAACATATTACTACTTTAATCAAAGATTATCTAAATTTTTCTCTCTAAACAAGTGGATTATTTATCTTAAGGCGTTCCTACTTGTATATTTAAAATGTAATTATAGATCTAACTTCATTGGAATATATCTACAACATTTTCAACATTTCTACACATTAGATCAACTTACCTCAATTGTTTTGTTGAAATATTTCCAAAAGTTGTGATGACACAGAATACATTTTTTGTTGAGCAAGAGCAACGGCACTCTTTTCTCGTTTTTTTTAAGGGAGTATCCAAGCACATTAGTTCGGTTCGCCAGCCCAAATGAAGCATGCTGACGCTTTAAGGATCAATACAGAAACTAATGTAACATTTTTGCAAGCTGCTAATTTGTCAACCACTGTATTCTTGTTTGTAATGTAATGTGAATAAATGATGGTTAATAAGTGTTAAGCAGTAACGGGCAGTCACTACCATCATTGGGCGGCAGGTAGCTTAGTGGGTACAGTGAGGGGAAAACGTATTTGATCCCCTGCTGATTTTGTAAGTTTGCCCACTGACAAAGAAATGATCAGTCTATAATTTTAATGGTAGGTTTATTTGAACAGTGAGAGACAGAATAACAACAAAAAAATCCAGAAAAACGCATGTCAAAAATGTTATATATTGATTTGCATTTTAATGAGGGAAATAAGTATTTGACCCCCTCTCAATCAGAAAGATTTCTGGCTCCCAGGTGTCTTTTATACAGGTAACGAGCTGAGATTAGGAGCACACTCTTAAAGGGAGTGCTCATAATCTCAATTTGTTACCTGTATAGAAAACACCTGTCCACAGAAGCAATCAATCAATCAGATTCCAAACTCTCCACCATGGCCAAGACCAAAGAGCTCTCCAAGGATGTCAGGGACAAGGTTGTAGACCTACACAAGGCTGGAATGGGCTACAAGACCATCGCCAAGCAGCTTGGTGAGAAGGTGACAACAGTTGGTGCGATTATTCGTAAATGGAAGAAACACAAAATACAGTGGGGAAAAAAAGTATTTAGTCATCCACCAATTGTGCAAGTTCTCCCACTTAAAATGATGAGAGAGGCCTGTGACAGACAAATTGAGGAAAAAAAATCCAGAAAATCACATTGTAGGACTTTTAATGAATTTATTTGCAAATTATGGTGGAAAATAAGTATTTGGTCACCTACAAACAAGCAAGATTTCTGGCTCTCACAGACCTG